GTGTGTGACCCAGACAGCAGCCTATCCTGCCCCAACACATGCACCTTAGCTCAAGCTGAGCCTCCTGGTTATGGCAGCCGGGGCAGACTGGCTGCACACGTGGTGTGGTGTCTGGTCCAGAATTTCACCTGACAGGTGGTGGCTGTTTATGCTGCTACTCTGTCTCTGACCAACCTCTCCAGACAGGATGACTTCATTCATTTCCCTCCTTCTAGAACTCACTGAGCACCTAGCAAGTGCCAAGCACAGCTTAGGCACTGAAACACCTCCTGTCCTGGGCAGAGCAGACAAAGCCCCAGACTCCCTCTGTCCAGCTGCTTAGTGCTGACAGTCACTCCTGATGCCGTCCTGCAGTAGGGGACACTGAGCTCTGTGACAGCAGCAGGATGATCCTCCGCAACCTGAAGCAGCCCTTCTGCATGTTTAGCTCCCAGGAGTAGCCCCACAAATGCCATCTTGTGTCAGAAAACAAGAGCTCCATGCAACATAGCTGCCAGGAACTTGGGCCACGTTTGTTCCCCAAACATGGTCATCTGCTCCTTTCAGGTGGGGCAGCCTGGGCTCCTCCCCTCCCTGGCTTCCACTCTGCTCCTCCTCCTCACACTGGGTGCTGAGCTGTCCCCTGCTTCGACCCTTTCAGAGGATGGAGGACACGATGCGTGGGTCTCAGCCTGGGGCACTGGGCTGTCCTAGCACAAATGTGCCAAAGGTGCTAACTGCAGCACCTCTGATGTGTGGGCTGCATCCCTCTGCTGCACTGGGGTTTGGTAAGTGGAACTGACTGCGCACTGTGAGCCAGCTGTAGGAAACGCAGCCAAGAGGGACGAATGTCTGCTGTCCCATGGAGCTGGACTGAGGAGTAGTCAGGGCTATGGAAAGTGCTCTTCAGGAAGACTGGTCTGTGCTTGCTGGCTCAGAAGGGTCTGCAGAGTCACTGGCAACTGGCCCAGAGGGAGGGGTGGGGACCGAATGACAGGGGTTTGAACTGATCCTCAAACCTTCCTAAAAACCTGGTTCAGAGTCACAGCCCACCACATACAACCATGGCCTGTATTTGCGCGTGGAAATGAAGTGGACGCATGTTGGGAGGTGGATGTCATATGGCCCAGCTCCACATGAGGCTATCCGACACAGCAGTTTTCTTCCTTTCAGGGGCTCATGGTTGAGTTGTCCAAGACTGATTCAAAATCTCTCTCCCTAGACAAAGATCACAGGCCTGGTGTAGAACTCAAAGCCCCACCTGGTCCAAGCGCCGAGGTTCAGGGCCCAGCAGGCTCCTCCTTGAGGCTGTGTGAGGCTCACATGCTGTGCTGTTCTGATGAAAACCTCACTCCCAAAAGCCGTGCAGTGGGACGTGGTGAGGTGAGCATCAAGAGGGAGTGCTGCAGGGCCCAGAAGTACCAAAGACTCTGGGGCACCTGAGGGGGAACTCAAGGCCATGGGCAGCCTCTGGAGCACCCTGGCCCTGCTGCTTCCTGAGTCTGCTCCACCTGCCGCCTCCTCTTCCCTGCACATGTGATGGTGCTGCAAGGCCCGGGCCATGCAGGTCCCGCCCTGCAGCCCTGGATTCCAGAAGCACCGGAGGAAATGGGATCCAGTCCTCCTGGGCCCTGTTCCTTCCCTGGGCCCCCTCCACCAGCTGGCCATGCAGCTCCACCAGCAGACGTTTGGGGGCTGCTCCCAGCCAGACCCCCTGCCTCCCTCCCTCCATGCTGCCCAGCAAGACTGCATCTTCCCCTGACTTCTGCCACCACCGTGTTTGGCTAGGTCTGGTCCTCCTGGGGTAGGCTCCATGGGACACATGATGTCACTTGCCACCCACTTGAGGGCATTAAACGCAGAGGGCATGTCCACTGGGGCAGGGATGAGGGGGCATCTCAGCAACCACAAGCCTCTGGAGGGCAGCTCTCCCAGGGAGCCAGGTCAAGAGAGGGGGACAACTCTAGCACTGTGTCTCCAGTGCTGAGCAGGACGAGCCTGACCAGCCACACGCCAAGAGGCTGCTCAGGCCCTTGGGCTGGGCCCAGTGCTGCTCAGTGACAGCTTAGAGCTAGGGCCACACAGCCACATGTGCACCACACAATGCTCTCTGCTGTCCATCCATCAGCCACCCACTTACCCACCCATCCATCCTGTACCAGCTCTCCAGCAACCCTACAGTTCACCCGCATTTCTACCATCCATCCATCCACCCATCTGCTCCTGCACCCATCCATCCTCCCCTCTGACTATTCATCCACCATCTGTCCATCTGTCCATCCACCCATCCGCTCCTGCACCCATCCATCCTCCCCTCTAACTATTCATCCACCATCTGTCCATCCGTCCATC